CTCCCTCCGTTCCTGGACCTGTCATCACTGATGCAGTGTGGCTGTCAAGGTGGGATGACAATTTGAAGAGAGAGTGAGGAGGGAGCGTGTAGAAGATCACTACAAAAATTCACAAGGCTTGATGGAGAGTGGCAGGCAGAACTCCCAACTCTCACTTCCGGCCGCATCCTCCAGCTGGGAGCCCAGCAATAGTTGCCCCAAGGGGGAGTAATCACCTCTCTGCGGCCACCTCTAAGATCCCTGGCAACTCAGGTAAACTCTGTTCTCCCGACCCCAGCTGGAGCTACTGGGTGGGGTCGCAGGCGGGTCCGAGTCTGGAGAAGCCTTGGCGGAGAGTGGGAAGGAACGCGGGCCCCGCACCCCGAAGCTCCCAGCCAGACCCGCGCCACCCCGCAGCCGTACCTGTCCCGCAGCGCCTGCTGGAGCTGGCCCACTCTCGCGTAGTAGTCGGGGCTCGCCAGGGGCGAGGTCTTGGCAGGGGCCTGCTGCACGCCGCCACCGCCACCGAGGCCATCGCGCCCTCTGGGCATAGCCACGGGCAGCTGGAAGTCAGTGTTGCCGGAGGAGACCTCCCCAACATGCACCACGGGTAAACAGGGCGCCTGGCGGCCTAGGAGAGCTGCGCGGAGGCGGGACGCCGTAGGGGGCGGGGCAAAGTGTCGTGTGGGCGGGACGCCGTGAGGTGGGGCGGAGATTGGAAGACTCAGAGGGGCGGGGCAAAGTGGTGTGGGGCGGGGCTACCGGGGCGGAGGCGGAGAGCTAGGGCCAGAGTTGAAAGCGGGTCTGCTCCCTCCAGCGGGTGGAGACCGGGTGCCTTTGGAGGGTGGAGCTTCCCTGATCCACTCAGTGCCCTACCATTCATCCCACAGCTGCGTCTCTTCTTTTCTTACAGAATCCTGTCCAAACTGCTTTAATCTTATCAGATGCACTTTCTCGCTCCCTAATCCTGTCCCTGCTTTCTTTCTGCCTAAAATTTGCAGTGTTGTGGAAAGTTTGTTTTGCTACCAAGGGTGACGCACACTTTTAACCCCAGCACTTGGGAGGCAGAGGCAGGCAGATCCCTGTGAGGAGGCCAGCCTGGTCTGCACAGCGAGTTCCAGGCCAGGAGACCCTGTCAGATAGATAGATGATAGGTAGGTAGGTAGGTAGGTAGGTAGGTAGATAGATAGATTAGATGATAGATAGATAGATAGATAGATAGATAGATAGATAGATAGATAGATAGATAGATAGATGATAGATAGAGATTAGATAGATAGATGATAGATAGATAGATAGATAGATAGATAGATAGATAGATAGATAGATAGATAGATAGATAGAAAAATTAATGCTGGAAGGAAAGAAAAAGAATCCCAGATACTAAAACTAATGATCTATGCAGCCCACACTCACCTTAGAATGTGTTTAAATGCTCTGGGTGTCCTGTACCTTCGCAAGAGAGAAAGGTTTAATTTGTAACTAGTTGCTTTTAAAGCACGCATTTGCATATGCAGACATATCTCAGATGGACTAGCCTCTAACAGCCTTAAAGCACTTCGTATGTGTTAGCAGTTATAAAGGCCCAGACATAGGATCATTACCTCCATCGACATGGCAAAAACCTGCCTAAGACAAGTGTATTCTAAAATGCAAAGGGCAGTGCACGTTGAGGAATTTCTCCATCAGACTGACCTGTGGGCATGTCTGTGGGACATTTTCTTAATTGCTAATAGATATGAGAGGTCCTTGTCCACTGTGGGCAGGTGGGCCTGGATGCTATAAGAAAGGTAGTTGAACTTGAGCCCAGAAGCAAGCCAGTAAGTAGCATTCCTCCTCCATGGTCTCTACTTGAGTTCCTGCCAGGTTCCTGCCTTTAGTTTCTGCCTTCACTTCCCTCAGTAATGCACTGTGACCTGTGAGTTATAAGATGAAATAAACCCTTTATTCCCCAAGTTGGTTTTGGACAGTGTTTTTGTTGTTGTTTGTTTTGCTTTTTGTTTTTTCCCAGCAACAGAAAGCAAATTATGACACTTATACTACACTTTTTGAAGTTTCTTTTCTCAAGTCAGTGGTTTCATTTATATGCATAGTGCCACTTAAACCAAAGCCTCTTAAGTTGTGGGTCATGATGCCATAGGGGTTGTATTGTTGGAAGTGCCAAAAATTGGCAATATCAAACTGTTCCTGAGGGTGTAATGAACAAAAAACAGTTCAAAATCAAGAGCATAATGAATCCCAGGTGTTTCTGCACCCTTGCCTATGCTCCGTCCCAGGACTTCACTGTGGTCTTGGTTGTAAACACACAACATACACACTTTGTGGTGCACATGCCCATGGCACCCTGACTTAAACAGCTAAATGAATCATTAGGGAGAGAAATGGAGTACTGAAAGGTCGGCAATATAAAATGGTGTTTCTTAGCCTTCCTTTTTCACACTTGCCAAGTCTAAAGCAAGAGTACCAGTAGCAGTCCACAGTAGGGCTCGGTGTACCCTGCCTGCTGCCCAGTTGACAAATTCCAGCTGCATCCACATGCCCACTTTAGCCTCCTCTTGGCCTAAAGCTGAATACTAGTGATGGTTCTTGCAGGAACGGCCTAGGAAAAAGATCTTTGAAGGCCTTAGAAAGCAGTTTTGGCCTGCATGTATGTAAGTGCACCAATGTTGTACAACGCCCGTGGGGGCCAGAAAAGGGTATCAGTTTTCCTGGAAGTGGAGTTATAGATAGTTGTTAGCTGCCTTGTGGGTGCTGGGAACTGAACCCAGGTCCTCTGCAAGAGCTCCCAGTGCTCTTAACCACAGCCATCTCTCTAGCTCCACTTTTTTTTTTTTTTTGACAAGGTAACCTTTTGTAACCGATTGCCTTGGAACTCACCATGTACACGGAACTGGCCTGGAATGCATGACAATCCTTCTGCCTCAGCCTCTTGAATACTGGAATTACAGGTGTATGCCACCAAAACAGCTTCAGCCTTCTCATTTTAAAGATGAGAAACAAGGTTCAGGGAAGGTAAGGGAGTTTGTGAAGTCATACAGCTGGTTATCTATGCAATTACTCTTTCAAAAAATATGTGTTACTATTAAGCAAATAGCTCAGGAAGCCAGTGTATCTCAGCCCAGTACTCATGTGTATTTTAGGATGAACTACATGTTGCAGCTCAAAACAATTGAGTGAAATGGAAAAAATGGTTGAAAATATGTTGTAATTAGAATTTTACATTTTAAAATATAAACATTTTGTACTTTCTTTTTCCATTTTTTTTTGAGTCGGGGTCTCCCTGTAGCCCCAGCTGTCCTGGAACTTACTTTAAAGACTAGGTTGGTCTCAATCTCACAGAGATCCACCTGCCTTTGCTTCCTGAGTGCTAGGATTAAAGGTATGCACTACCACGCCTGGCTGTGCCCTTTTTTTTTTTTTTTTTTTGAGACCTTGTGCATGCTAGGCAAATCCTCTACCATCGAGTCCCTACATACATATACTTACTTGTTTTAAATGTATATATGTGCGTATGTTTGTGTGTGGAGGGTATGCACACATATGTGCTGATGCCCACAGAGGCCAGAACAAGGTGTCAGATCCCCTGGAGCTGCAGTTATAGGTGGCTGTGAGCCACCCAACATGGGTGCTAGGAACTGGACTCTGGTCCTCTGTAAGAGCAGCAAGTGCTCTTAACCACTGAACCATCTCTCCAGCCACCCTCCCCATATATTTTTTTCCTAGATCCTATAAATCCGATTTAGTAATTGATTGGATATTGTATTCATTTACTAGGGCTGCTATAGCAGAGTACCACAATGTAAGTGGCTAAAAAAATGATTTATTGTGTCACATTCTAGAAGCTAGAAGTTCAAGATTAAATCATCTGCAAGGTTGATTCCTTCCAAACACAGTGAAGAAAAATCTGCCCCATGCCTCATCTAGATGCTGATGGGCTGGAGACAATCTTTGGTATTTCCTGACTGGTAGATGCATCATCCCACTCTTTACCTTGATGTTCACATAGTATTTTCCCTGTGCCATGTCTCCAAATTTCCTCTTTCTGTAGGCACTAATCATCAAAATATGGGCCCATCTCCTAAATATGGTCTCATTTTAAATAATTATATCTATAGTGATGTTATTTTAAATAAGGTCACATTCTAAGACACTGAAAGTTAGGATTTCAAAATATGATGGCAGTGAAGACACAATTCAAGTCATAATAGATATAAAGATGGGAAATATTTCACTCTGTAATCATTGTGTAGAAAATTAACTATTGCATTATGCAGTTAGAAATTTCAGTTTGGAACTAGAGATGAATCAGACTTAAGAAGTAGGTAGGAGAGCTGGGATGTCACATATATCTGTGCATTTATACTGGTGTGAATATTTAATCCACAACAGTCTTTTTTTTGGGGGGGGGGACAGGGTCACTATATAACCCTGGCTGGCCTAGAGCTCGCTGTGTAGACCAGGCTAGCCACACACACACACACACACACACACACACACACACACACAGATCTGCTTGTCTTTGCCCAACGAGTGCTGGGATTAAAGGTATGTGCCATCATGTAGGGCCTTAAATCAGCAACAGTCTTTGAGGGCGGCACAAGTTTAAGCAACAAGACTACTCAAGTTAATGAAAACAATAGGATTTAGGCATAGACCTGTTCCTGTTGCTCTTGCTCTTCATTGCAGGGCCTTTAAACTAATTATTTAACAGCTGCTGAAATTTTTATTTTCCTCATCTGAGGTATTAATCTGTTTTCTATTGCTAATAACACACCACCACAGACAGGGTAAAATTTTTGGCATATGTGTATATGTGGTGTGCATGCATGTATGAATGTTCACATGTTCATGTGTGCAGATGCATCTGTATGTGTGTGTGTGTGAATGTTGAGGCCTGAGGTTGACATTAGATGTCATCCTTGAGTGCTCTTCCCTTACATATTGAGGCAGGGTCTCTCACTGAGCCCTAAGCTAGCCATCTTGACTAGTCTGGCTAGCCAGCTTGCTTCAGGGATTCCCTGTCTCCACCTCCTACACACTGGAATTTAAGATGGGTTGCCATACCCATCTGGCTTTTATATGGGTCCTGGGGATCCAAACTCTGGTCCCCAGTGCTTTAGCTACTGAGTCATTTCCCAGCCCCTACAGACAGGGTAAGTTTTAAAGTAGGTTTATTTTGAACCATGATCCTGAAGGCTTAAAGTCCAAAATTAGATGGCCCCATTGTGGTGATGACCTTCTTTCTGTTAGGTTCCCAAGGTGGCAAATAGCATCAGATGACAAGGGATGGGGTACATAGATGTTTCTCTCTCTCTCTCTCTCTCTCTCTCTCTCTCTCTCTCTCTCTTTCATATAAAACCACCAGGATCCAATTGTGGCTGCTCCACCCTAATGGTTTTAAAGGTGATTACTTCCCCCAGGACCCTCCTCTAAACATTATAGTCAGATTAATTTTCTATTCTCTTATAACCTCACAATAGGAATTAAATTTCAGTAATGAAACCCCAATGGGGACACACTCAAAACACATCCAACCCATAGCATATGAGATATATTAAAACATATGATTTCACCTGTCCTGGATAGCGTTAGTTGTCAACGGGACACATCTGTGTAGAGGGAGCCTCAACTAGAGAATTGCCTCCACTGGACTG